AAATGAAATGTTAGTTTGATCACATGATGTGTCAGATGATCTCTGCAGCACTATAAATGAAATGTTAGTTTGATCACATGATGTGTCAGATGATCTCTGCAGCACTATAAATGAAATGTTAGTTTGATCACATGATGTGTCAGATAATCTCTGCAGCACTACAAATGAGATGTTAGTTTGATCACATGATGTGTCAGGTGATCTCTGCAGCACTATAAATGAAATGTTAGTTTGATCACATGATGTGTCAGATGATCTCTGCAGCACTATAAATGAAATGTTAGTTTGATCACATGATGTGTCAGATGATTTTTGCAACACTATAAATTAAATGTTAGTTTGATCACATGATGTGTCATGTGATCTCTGCAGCACTACAAATGAAATGTTAGTTTGATCACATGATGTGTCAGATGATCTCTGCAGCACTACAAATGACTGAAACAAATATATTTGCAGTCAGTCTAAACAAATATGGGGAAATGCAAAGATGGTGCAGCGTTCAAAAGAGACATGATAGTAGGATCACGTCTAGCAAATGTTACAGTGGCTAAAACAATTTCATGGGTAGACTGCTTCAACCGCCATCAAACCATACATCAACTGACAGACATTAAATAGAGGGCAATCCACACCCATCTCCAACCGTACTTTGCAAATAACAAATTGACTATGGCAGTAGGAGATCATTGCATAAGCAACTGGACTCAGTTTCCACACACACACACAAAAAAAACATGCCTTGAGTGGTCTAAAGAGCATAGACATTGGATTAATAAGAAATTCTGAAAGGTGATGGACTTCAATGAATGACGCTTTACCATTTTTTGCTCAGAAGGAAGAAGGCAGATTTGGAAACAGCCACAAGAATAACTCACTCCTCTTGTGTGATCCTAATTGTCCAGATCTGTGGTGTTATAGTCATGGTTTGGGACACGTTTTCCTGAAATACCCTGGCCCCTTGGTCCCTTTTGGCAGAATGAATAAATATATATATAACAGCTTACCTCAGCATAATTTGTGATTCAGTACATTCAGCTGTACTTCCTGTCAGAAAGTAAACGTAAATTAAAAAACAAGTCCTATTTGATTATATTTGACATCAATTAATAACAAAGTAAAAGTATCCTTCATGTTTATCAAACCATACACGCATAATTTAGGCACTGGAAATGGAAGAATTATCGTCTTGTAAGTAGCCATTCACACAAGGGTATACAGGAAGTACAGCTGAATGTACTGAATCATGGAAGAATTATCGTCTTGTAAGTAGCCATTCATACAAGGGTATAATTGTACCCTTATTTGGTCTTCTGATTTACGTTTTATTTCTGAACTGTACCCTTACTTGGTCTTCTGATTTACGTTTAAGTTATGACCTGTACGCTTACTTTGTTTTCTGATTTACGTTTTATTTATGAACTGTACCTTACTTGTTCTTATGATTTATGTTTTATTTATGAGCTGCACCCTTACTTGGTCTTTTGAGTTATGTTTTATTTATGAGCTGCACCCTTGGTCTTCTGATTTATGTTTTATTTTTGATATGTAACCTTACTTGGTCTTCTGATTTAAGTTTTATTTCTGACATGTAATCTTAATTGGCCTTCTGATTTACATTTAATTTCTGAACTGTAACTTTAATTGGTCTTTGATTTATGTTTTATTTTTGAACTGTAACTTTATTTAGTCATGTTTATTTTATTGTTATTTATTCAGCACAAAGTTACACAATCTGCGGGTATCGAAACACGATTTTTAGAGTCATAAGCTCTGAGACTTTCCGCTGAGCCACCAGGGGGCTTATTTGATCTTCTTCTTTTTCACATTTTATTTTTAAACTGTAACTTTATGTCTTGTTAAAATATATCTACAAGTATAATATTAAAAGTTCGCATATTTTAAATTTTAAGGTGTTGCTTTTATAACAATGTATTTTTCTAATTTTAAAAGTAAGTTATGTAAGAAGTCTGAAGGTATGACTTCAACGAGCAAAGAAAACCTAGATAAATTCTTACATCGTGTTACATCGTTCTTCTCTTCACTTCAGTACACTCACCTAGTTACCATTAAAAGTCTGTCATAAAAGACAAGTTCAAGCTAACGACTAGTGTTTTTCTTTGTTTTCCCTAAGTAAGATATACTATTTATTTATTTGTTATTAGTTTCAATAACAGTACTTAATATGCAGAATGCCATTGTTTTTTAACTTTACTATTTCTTCTTATTATACTTTTTATTACACAGATTGTTAGCTTAATATATGTATTTAGAACTAACCTAGATCTCCTACCTGGCCAAATCTCGTGTAATGTTATTGAGATTATTGCCGACAAATGCCTAACAGCAATAGTACTAAACTGATGAAACAATGTTTTATAATCTTGATAAGTAGAAAAGTATAATTAGTTAGTTGTAATGATCGTCAGGCTGATTTTCAGTTTTCCTCTGTGTACATAACTTTTTCTGATCGGAAGTTCGTATCAATTACTTGAGCCTGACCTCCCCTTTCACCATAAAAATAAAGATCAAATATCATGAAGTACAAGGAATCCTTTCTTATTAGCTCTAATAAACCATCTATTAACTGAGACAGAAGATAACCTTTTTATTATCTTACTATAATAGACGTAGCGTGTATGTCAATATCTATGTATGTAACCAAAACTCCTGCACCATCTATTAAATGGCACCACAAACTAAAATCCATACCAAGATTTCACACTTTGGGTATTCATAATTCAGACAATTAGAAAAATAACTGTGGTATGTGCAACAACCATTTCTTTATAACTAACAGCAAAATGTTATAAGTTTGAAAAGATACAAAAATATATGTTATGTGAAGTTATGGTACCTAATGCATACTGGAATAGAAACGTGTCTAACAAAAAAGGAGCAACAAATTACCAGTGAAAAACTTTTTTTTTTATCTCGAAGTTTCACCTTAAAGTTTTTTAACAAGTCATACAGTAGTATTCCTTAGAGTCGTCATTGAGAATATTTTAAAGCATAGTTATTTGGCGAAGAAAGAGAAGCATTAAAAACTGAACGAAGATTAAGTCAAATTAAGAAATATTAGAATACAAATTAATATAACTAGCAGAAATGCCGTCTTACGGGTGGCTGTTTGTATTAGTAATTAATCGTATTATTCATACTTCATTGAAACACATTTAGGGGAAATGAACATTTTCTAAAAATGTATTTTTTTCTGGGAAGTACTGCACGGAAAGTGTTCGGATTGTTCTTTTTAGTCATACGTAACTTATTGCCTCAAAATGATTCAATGTACAGAGCTCAAACTTTTCATAAATTTTACTGATATAAACTGTAATATTTTGATATATTAAAAGTGGTACCATTTATTTAAAAAATAATGTTTTTTTTTAAAAATTCCTGTTACTCAGTACTACACTTAAAGATTACATGAATAAAGATATAATCAAACCCTCACGTACAGTCCTAGTGAAAGCCGTGTTCTTCTTGTGAGGAAAGTACGTTTATTTAAAATTGTGTTCTAAAATCCAAAGAAATGAGATAGCACGAAATGTCGCTTTACAAAAAGTTTTTATTGACAATACCTATTTTTATCAATATTTCATTAACAAAGTAAGTTATAGGTTTTTGAAAGCAATTTATGTACAGAAGAGTAGATTATCAGTTGCTAACAAATTATCATGTTCAAATTATTTTATGCTTTAAATGCTGCTGCAATACGTTATTTGTATTTTTTAGACAAGTAAGCAAACTAGAGGGTGCCACCTGCGCAGAAAAGTATGATGCAGTATTCTTCGAAACTACTGCAGCAGAAGACTATGATGAAGTTGAAGAAGTTTTCCACAAGGTATTAAGACTCGTTCTTCAAGATCAAAGTCGTTTTTTATCATTAAAACCTCTGTATATAGCAGAAGACAAAATGGCCTCGAATTTGAATCGTAATTCCTTACCACGTAATCTGAGATCACATATAATAGCGTCATCCAACTCCAAGCTTCCTCCGGTGTCCAAAGACCGTAAGCCTGACGAAAAAAGCTTCCTACTCATGGACAGAAATCCGAAGTTTAAACTGTTTAATAAAGGATTTAGAATATTCCAATCTTAAAAACTAAATACGGCTCTGACAGAAATATGAAACTACAAAAATTAATAGGGTCAAGTTTTGACCACACCCTTTGTAGTTAAAAGTTCACTACATAAACACTTCGCTTGCCTCTCAATATTATTAGTAGTGAGTACAGCCTGAAGAAAAGGACTGGAAACGTAAAAAAAGGGCAAATTTGGGATTCTTCAATGTCTATTCCTACTTGACAAACTTTGGATTGATGGCAATAAATGGTATATTTCTCCATTATGAAAAAATTAAATTTCCCTAATGACATATAAATTCATGAGCTATTTAGATTAGTATATGTATTTATATGGAAAAATGTATGGAAAAAAGTCGTATTTCTGTCACCATGTTATCCAATTTGTACAAAAGTCAAAGCAATTACACAAGGTTATGAAATGCAAGAGTTGAAACATGTTTGTTCCATTCTATAAAAATAGAAGATTAATTAAGGCCAAGACATATTCCATACCAGAATAACTCACGTTTTTCTTATTTGAATTATCGCAAAAAGTAAGATTCAGATAGACTAATGAGAAAATAAAATCAACTGCTGTAGATGGTCAGTGCCAGATTTAGAGGGGGCCTCTCTTTTGAATTACTCGAGACCTCCAGCATCACAGTATTGCATGGGAGCCTCAAAGGGTCTAAATCTGGCCTTTAAGATAGTACATCAAGTATGTAGTATTATACAAACACACACATGTATATACATATATATAGAGAGAGAGAGAAAAAAAAAATTTTCAATAAAGTTAAAATCCAGTGCTTCAGAAAATTATAGCACTGATGATAATGCTCTTATTATATTTTGAATCCTGATATATGAAAATGGATGAAATGAAGGGTGGGAAATCGTTAACTTTTTAATGTGTGTTTTTTTTATATTTCTCATGACAACTTCCAATCGTGTTAATCTTACTTTTGCTCAAGATATAGATAGCATCTTGATAGAATTATAGTTGAAAGTGGTAGTTAGTGTCAGAACATGCACTAACATGATAAGAACATGGGTCTATAAGATGGGAATTTTGTTGAAAAGTGATGACCAAGAAACAATGTTTACTATGGAAGTTGTTTCTCTTGTAAAGGAAATACCTAATGGTGTATTGTGTTTTACTACATTCTTGTTTTGTTTTTTCATGTGTATCAAATCTTAGGTAAGGTCACTAGTACTATCTTGCTTAGTTGAATGTCATTTTTACTACTTTGCATCTATTTTTAATTTGAGCGCCATTTTTAAACAACTTCAGTCTTCAGTGACATTGTTTAAAGGTTTATCAAGTTAAATCATAATTCAAAATGTATAAACCTGTTATTTTTTAATGAAAATGTATAACGTGAAAAGGTTAACTATTGAATGCCAGACATTATATTATCCAATAAAACTGAGGTACCTTGGAAGTTATGGAACTATTAATGCTTTGTCACATTGCTTACTGAATGGTCTACAAAACTAACGTTGAAGTAATGTTAACAAGACAACATTCAGCTATGCCAAAGGAATACAAATGTGTTGCATGACAGCTAAAGTATCGTTCTAAAGGGAAAAGGTGCATATCAGAATCATGTAATATTGTATTTCATAGAAAAATAAAACTTCTGCCAAAGAAGATATTATCTCTACCAAATGTCATCAACAGTGTTATCATTCCAAATTCTGTGTGCCCAATGACCCCCTCTAGGTGATGGTGAAACTGACAGAGGTGATCCAAGCTAAGCTCTTTCTGTGCATTCTGCTCTTGGTGCGTCCTGCAGCAAACCAGATTGAAAGTGCCTTAAGCGTTTACAAGTGAAAATAGGGTTAAAGGGCAAGTCATGTCAAATGTTTTGTCTGCCCAAAATATACTCAGTTGACTGATGTACTACTTGAAGCACGAACTTATTATGCATCGTATTTTCATCCATGTTGGATACTACAAAAATCATACAGAAAACAGTTTGTATCCAATTCGTGCCTGATGACAGGGGCAAAGACAAAAGACCATATCAGTTGTATCAAACTGGATATGATTAATATTTTGGAAAACATATATACAAGCAAAGAAGGTCCGGTGGAATAAACTTTGATAGATGTCCCAATCTAACTTATCATGGGCACTGAATTGACAATGTCTCAGTCTGATGACCCATCTTCCAGGACTCATTCTTTGGGAAAATACTTAAGTAAGATTTGTGTAAACTGTTTATGGATTTTTCCACATTGAACTCTGTACTGGCTTATGAAATAGAATTTTTCCCACAATTTTTGTTGTTTTGGAAAATACATTTGCCATAAATGGAGCAATAAATTGATCTTGTTTTGCTTTGGTGAGCCTTTTTTTTTCTTATATATCTTGTTCAGCCAAATTTCTTTCCTACTGGAACCAGGGTCTCTTTATAACAACCATACAGTAGTCAGATTGCAACTGATTTGGAGGGTAAGCTGTGTTAGTTGTTGTAATGGCACTGATGACGCTGACCATCCCAGCTTTGTGATGGTAAAGTAGAAACCCAGTGAAACATGAGGGTACCAAGATGTCCACATGTGCAATGGATACATGTTCTACAAGTGATATACACATATGATCACCCACAAGCCTAAAAAAAAATGTCACTTGACCAAAGTAATAGTTTTAACAGTGTCTCTAAAGTACAAGCATGGTCATTTTGATCTACCTTGTAACACCAGATAACCATGAAACTATACATGTTATAACTGAATTTACTAAGTATAGCTCCCCAGTGGCACAGCGGTATGTCTGCGAACTTACAACGCTAGAATACGGGTTTCGATACCCGTGGTGGGCAGAGCACAGATAGCCCATTGTGTAGCTTTGTGCTTAATTGCAAACAAACAAATACTAAGTGTATCTTCACTAAAATATTTTAGTAGCCAGAGCGCATACCCCCGCCAAGCAGCATTACTCATATTCGGCCCTCAAAAAATACGAAAATGTGTCCGTCGTTAACAATTAAAATGGACCATTTTTGACAGGACAATGATGAATAATATTCTACATATGTCCATATTTTTGATTGAGTTATAAAGCAAAATAGTGCGAAAATCCGGTCTTCATGTTAACAGATAGGGATTTTTTGGATTAGCGTGATTTTGGTGAGACCTTAACTCTCCAAAAGCTAAACACGTCTAAGTTGAGTCATAATCCAAATGCCAACTTTCATCCAAATCCATTCAGCCATTTTCAAGAAATCTAGCTGACAAACACAGAAAGGAGTGAAATCATAACCTTCGTCACCTTCCGTAGTGGAGGTAAATATTACAAGACTGCTGTGCACAAAAAAAATCAGATTTTTTTATTAATAATTTTTCTAGAAATTTACGAAGCCTTTACTGAGTCAGTTCGAGTATGAAGTGATTTTCCTGTTAAGAATAAGACATTTTAATCTTACAGTTTAATGTTTCATTTACATAATCTTGAGGACCTCCAAAATGAATATCAATATTTTTTGACCCTGCATGAACAGATGGGGCAAAGTGTACAAGCCACGACCTTTTACAGATATACACGAAATGTGGTAAGCTTTTGGTAAAGTATACAAGTCTGTTGTACACATAAGTCAGATGTATGTTTCAGAAATATGTGTAATCAAGACATATCTGTGAATTGATGATGTCAGTCTGACAAGTCAAAGTGCAAGATGATGTTCATGTGAAAAGTAAAAACACTTTTGTCCATCGTTTATTGTATCTGGTATTCAATCTTCTCTACCTCGAGCTGTCATGAAATCAGCAATGTAGGATAAAATTAATAGTTAGTAACTCTGACATCAAATATTTCCCTTCTACCTGTAACACTACTCACATGACAACACCAATGACACAAAACTTAAAAAAAATCACGTTAACGATTACATATAAATAAATACTTAGCAATGAAAAGCAATTTAATAGCTTACATAAGAAAATACCTTTTAACAGAGATTATGTACATACAATTTCATAAAGCAGAAATATCACTTAAAAAATAAAGCAGAACCTACCAAAATTGACCATTTGACATAACAGTAATAAAAACACATAAAAAAGCACAAATCAAATTACAAAACAAAATGTTTTTCTTTAAAAGTAAAACATCTTAAGTATAATTTCGAATTTACTACGTGTATTTCGATGACCAGGAACCCACTTTGAGACTAATAATGGCTGGAGACGGCTTAAATGGGTAATGAAGAAAAACTTTAATATAAGTTTAACATGACAGCAAATGTA